CAAAAAGAATATAAAAGAAATGCGGACTGAAAACATTTCACTCAGGATCTTCTAAAACGCCCCAAAAGTGTCACTCGTGCTTCATCACATTGCCCCAATTTCTGTATGATTTACCTGAACAGTCCATTGTAATATTCGGTGAGGACGTCCCTTGCACTGCATAGTTGTCTGTGGATCTAAGGCCAGGGATTGGACAATCAGACTGTAATGTGTGTCGCTGGTTTAAAGGAGGTTTTTCATTCAGATTATAACGTGTGTGACCAGATTCAGATTTCATCTCTCATTATACAAAGCTGTAGACTTCCTCGCTCACGTTTTGTGAAGACTATAAAAAAATAGCTCAAGAAAGACGAGAGCGTCACTGCGACTGGAAGAGTCCAATGTGCTATGTTATCTACAAAAAGATCATTTGAACAAAACAGCCGATGCGTTTCCGGGGGCCACAATACCCCCCCTTCATCAGGGCTTAACCCCTTCATGACTGAGGCCCTTTTTTCATTTTTTGCACCCATGTTATATTCCACATTTTAGGCCTGAAAATGACGTAAAACCCCCAAACATGATATATTTTCTGAATGCCAAGACCCTATAGAATAAAATGGTGGTAGTTGAAAATTTTTATGTTGCGCAATATTAGCGCAACTCCTTATTAAACCCCAAAATTTTGTGACAAATTTAATTAAATGCCCCAAAACACAACAAATTACCCATTTTTTTTATTGAATATAAAAGATGAGGTTACAACGAGTAAAACGGGAGTCTGTTTAAACAGCCCCGATGCTGGCGACGTACACTGCACGTTGTCAGTCACGAAGGGGTTAAGATAACTGTGTACCTCAGATCCTCACGGTGTTTGGTCTTGGAACAATGGTTAGAAGTTATGATGAGGGATGCACGGAGAACGTTTTTTCGGTATCGAGTACCGATATTTTTTTTGGTACCCGCCGATGCTGAACACCGATACCGGAAGTCCCATTAAGGAAGCCAAGCTGTGTGTAATGGTTCGCTGCCCCGCTTCCTGATTACCAGGGAGGCCATCTCCATGCTTCCTCGTCACCAGGTGACAAGGAAGCATGGAGCCAGCTTTCTGGCCAATCAGGAAGCGGGTAATGACTTGCCGCCAAGCTTCCTGATTGCCCAGCTTCCCGACCAATCAGGAAGCTAGGCGGTGAGTCATTACACGCTGCCCAGCTTCCTGATTGCCCAGCTTCCCGACCAATCAGGAAGCTAGGCGGTGAGTCATTACACGCTGCCCAGCTTCCTGATTGCCCAGCTTCCCGACCAATCAGGAAGCTAGGCGGTGAGTCATTACACGCTGCCCAGCTTCCTGATTGCCCAGCTTCCCGACCAATCAGGAAGCTAGGCGGTGAGTCATTACACGCTGCCCAGCTTCCTGATTGCCCAGCTTCCCGACCAATCAGGAAGCTAGGCGGTGAGTCATTACACGCTGCCCAGCTTCCTGATTGCCCAGCTTCCCGACCAATCAGGAAGCTAGGCGGTGAGTCATTACACGCTGCCCAGCTTCCTGATTGCCCAGCTTCCCGACCAATCAGGAAGCTAGGCGGTGAGTCATTACACGCTGCCCAGCTTCCTGATTGCCCAGCTTCCCGACCAATCAGGAAGCTAGGCGGTGAGTCATTACACGCTGCCCAGCTTCCTGATTGCCCAGCTTCCCGACCAATCAGGAAGCTAGGCGGTGAGTCATTACACGCTGCCCAGCTTCCTGATTGCCCAGCTTCCCGACCAATCAGGAAGCTAGGCGGTGAGTCATTACACGCTGCCCAGCTTCCTGATTGCCCAGCTTCCCGACCAATCAGGAAGCTAGGCGGTGAGTCATTACACGCTGCCCAGCTTCCTGATTGCCCAGCTTCCCGACCAATCAGGAAGCTAGGCGGTGAGTCATTACACGCTGCCCAGCTTCCTGATTGCCCAGCTTCCCGACCAATCAGGAAGCTAGGCGGTGAGTCATTACACGCTGCCCAGCTTCCTGATTGCCCAGCTTCCCGACCAATCAGGAAGCTAGGCGGTGAGTCATTACACGCTGCCCAGCTTCCTGATTGCCCAGCTTCCCGACCAATCAGGAAGCTAGGCGGTGAGTCATTACACGCTGCCCAGCTTCCTGATTGCCCAGCTTCCCGACCAATCAGGAAGCTAGGCGGTGAGTCATTACACGCTGCCCAGCTTCCTGATTGCCCAGCTTCCCGACCAATCAGGAAGCTAGGCGGTGAGTCATTACACGCTGCCCAGCTTCCTGATTGCCCAGCTTCCCGACCAATCAGGAAGCTAGGCGGTGAGTCATTACACGCTGCCCAGCTTCCTGATTGCCCAGCTTCCCGACCAATCAGGAAGCTAGGCGGTGAGTCATTACACGCTGCCCAGCTTCCTGATTGCCCAGCTTCCCGACCAATCAGGAAGCTAGGCGGTGAGTCATTACACGCTGCCCAGCTTCCTGATTGCCCAGCTTCCCGACCAATCAGGAAGCTAGGCGGTGAGTCATTACACGCTGCCCAGCTTCCTGATTGCCCAGCTTCCCGACCAATCAGGAAGCTAGGCGGTGAGTCATTACACGCTGCCCAGCTTCCTGATTGCCCAGCTTCCCGACCAATCAGGAAGCTAGGCGGTGAGTCATTACACGCTGCCCAGCTTCCTGATTGCCCAGCTTCCCGACCAATCAGGAAGCTAGGCGGTGAGTCATTACACGCTGCCCAGCTTCCTGATTGCCCAGCTTCCCGACCAATCAGGAAGCTAGGCGGTGAGTCATTACACGCTGCCCAGCTTCCTGATTGCCCAGCTTCCCGACCAATCAGGAAGCTAGGCGGTGAGTCATTACACGCTGCCCAGCTTCCTGATTGCCCAGCTTCCCGACCAATCAGGAAGCTAGGCGGTGAGTCATTACACGCTGCCCAGCTTCCTGATTGCCCAGCTTCCCGACCAATCAGGAAGCTAGGCGGTGAGTCATTACACGCTGCCCAGCTTCCTGATTGCCCAGCTTCCCGACCAATCAGGAAGCTAGGCGGTGAGTCATTACACGCTGCCCAGCTTCCTGATTGCCCAGCTTCCCGACCAATCAGGAAGCTAGGCGGTGAGTCATTACACGCTGCCCAGCTTCCTGATTGCCCAGCTTCCCGACCAATCAGGAAGCTAGGCGGTGAGTCATTACACGCTGCCCAGCTTCCTGATTGCCCAGCTTCCCGACCAATCAGGAAGCTAGGCGGTGAGTCATTACACGCTGCCCAGCTTCCTGATTGCCCAGCTTCCCGACCAATCAGGAAGCTAGGCGGTGAGTCATTACACGCTGCCCAGCTTCCTGATTGCCCAGCTTCCCGACCAATCAGGAAGCTAGGCGGTGAGTCATTACACGCTGCCCAGCTTCCTGATTGCCCAGCTTCCCGACCAATCAGGAAGCTAGGCGGTGAGTCATTACACGCTGCCCAGCTTCCTGATTGCCCAGCTTCCCGACCAATCAGGAAGCTAGGCGGTGAGTCATTACACGCTGCCCAGCTTCCTGATTGCCCAGCTTCCCGACCAATCAGGAAGCTAGGCGGTGAGTCATTACACGCTGCCCAGCTTCCTGATTGCCCAGCTTCCCGACCAATCAGGAAGCTAGGCGGTGAGTCATTACACGCTGCCCAGCTTCCTGATTGCCCAGCTTCCCGACCAATCAGGAAGCTAGGCGGTGAGTCATTACACGCTGCCCAGCTTCCTGATTGCCCAGCTTCCCGACCAATCAGGAAGCTAGGCGGTGAGTCATTACACGCTGCCCAGCTTCCTGATTGGCTGGGAAGCCGGCTCCCTGCTCCCTCATCACCAATGTTATCCTGGCCCCCAATGTACACAGGGGGACATGTTATCCTGGCCTCCAATGTACACAGGGGGACATGTTATACTGGCCACCAATGTACACAGGGGGACATGTTATCCTGGTCACCAATGTACACAGGGGTGCATGTTATCCTGGCCACCAATGTACACAGGGGGACATGTTGTCCTGGCCACCAATGTACACAGGGGGACATGTTATCCTGGCCACCAATGTACACAGGGGACATGTTATCCTGGCCACCAATGTACATGGGGAAATGTTATCCCGGCCACCAATGTACACAGGGGGAGGTGTTATCCTGGCCACCAATGTACACAGGGAAATGTTATCCCGGCCACCAATGTACACAGGGGAGGTTTTATCCTGGCCGCCAATGTACACAGGGGGACATGTTATCCTGGCCACCAATGTACACAGGGAGACGTGATACTGATCCTGGCCGCCAATGTACACAGGGGGACATGTTATCCTGGCCACCAATGTACACAGGGACATGTTATCCTGGCCGCCAATGTACACAGGGGTGCATGTTATCCAGGCCACCAATGTACACAGTGACATGTTATCCTGGCCACCAATGTACACAGGGGAGGTGTTATCCTGGCCGCCAATGTACACAGGGGAGGTGTTATCCAGGCCACCAATGTACACAGTGACATGTTATCCTGGCCACCAATGTACACAGGGTCATGTTATCCTGGCCGCCAATGTACACAGGGGTGCATGTTATCCAGGACACCAATGTACACAGGGAGACATGTTGTCCTGGCCACCAATGTACACAGGGGGACATGTTGTCCTGGCCACCAATGTACACAGGGGGACATGTTACCCTGGCCACCAATGTACACAGGGGGACATGTTACCCTGGCCTCCAATGTACACGCAGGACATGTTATCCTGGCCTCCAATGTACACGCAGGACATATTATCCTGGCCTCCAATGTACACGCAGGACATGTTACCCGGCCTGCTGGTCCTACTCACTCATCACTCCGATCCCGAGCCGCACGGGTTAATAACACAACAGCCTCAGCGCCCTACACGTGTTCTACGGTAGATGGGCGGGGCGTATGATAATTTGGGCGGGAGAACAGCTGGATGGGCGGGGCTTATGCTGTTATTAGAAGAAGTTGGTGTAGCTGGCTGCGTTGCGAGCAAGTTTGAAGGCGGAGTTTCTGGCAGGAGGGCGTGCACCCAAGGTGGCTGTTGTTCTCGCGAGCGTGCCCAGCTGCACTCCGCCTCCTCGGTCGGCGCCTCAGGGTGAGTGAGCGCTGCCAGTGAGGGGAGACGGTCAGACTACGCGGGGAGGGCGGGGAGCTCTCTGGCCTCAGCCCTGCTAGGCTCAGCGGTGTCTATCCAAGCGGGAGGCCGCGTGTGTAGCTGCTCAGGGCGTTCGCTACTGTCCGTTTTCCGATCCGGGGAGGGCCCGGTGAGTAGTGATGTCTATGGGGGGCTGTGGGTGAGGAGTACCGCCAGGGGGTCACTGTACGGAGTCCGTTATGTGTTCATCGCCTTTGTCTTTGTGTTGCATCATTTGACTTCCATGAAGCGGATCCCAACTGGAGGGTTCGCATCCCGGAGCAATGGTGGAGGGGCCTGGTTACTCCTTGGGGGGGCTATGCATGATATTGGGTCTAATGGTGGAGGGGCCTGGTTACTCCTTGGGGGGGCTATGCATGATATTGGATCTAATGGTGGAGGGGCCTGGTTACTCCTTGAGGGAGGCTATGCATTATCGTATTGGGTCTAATGGTGGAAGTGCCTGGTTACCCCTTTGAGGGGACTATGATCGTATTGGGTCTAATGGTGGGGGTGCCTGGTTACCCCTTTGAGGGGACTATGATCATATTGGGTCTAATGGTGGGGGGGCCTGGTTACCGCTTTGAGGGGGGACTATGTATGGTCATTTTGGGTCTAAAGGGCAGGTTCAGACCATTTTCCAGACCAGAAAGTTGTGTGAGCCTGCCTGCAGTTCCAGTGCATTCTAGATGAGACCAGCAGTATTTATCTGGTCTGGAACTGGCTGTGCTGGTGTGAACAGAGGCCAGAAATCGCATAGGGATACATTAGGATGCATTTTGGGTCAGGAGATGATCTGGATGTGGTGTGAATGGCTCTAATCAGGTCCCTGATGACCTCATGAGGGTTCTGTGTGTGATCATAGTGGTTCTAATGGTGGGGGGCCTAGTGAGCTGAGGAGGCTATGTATGATCATACTGAATCTAATGTGGGAATGGAGCCTGGTGACTTCCTGAGGCCTATGTATGATCATACTGAATCTAATGGGGGGAATGGAGCCTGGTGACCTCCTGAGGCCTATGTATGATCATATTGAGTCTAATGGGAGAGGAGCAGTGCATGATCTTATTGGCTCTGGGATTAGCAATGGAGAAGGAGCCTGATGAACCTTGCTGCTTTATACCTCATGTCAGATGAGTACCAGGCTACTGCTGTGTCCCTAATGACAGGAGTGCACTGGCTCTTGCTTTGTAAGGGCCTGGATAGTCGTCTACTGACTATCAGAAGTGTTTATCAGAATCTGGCATAAGTGATGGTGAGATTCAAGCTATTGCTAGTGTTCTCCTTGCTTGGGGAATGGAGCATCAAACTGACTGGTGACCTCCTAGCCTTAGATGTTGGTGTCAAGCAGGTTGGCATCTTACCGGCCTTGGGGGCTAGCCTTGTAGAGGATGAGGAAGCGTTGTGGCTCCTGAATTTGCAGCTAGGTTCACAACCAATGGGTATCTGCTAACGTGCAGCATTTTGCAATATGCATTCAGTTGGTTGCATAGTATTTGATGTTGAATAAAGACATATGTCCATCTGTGTGTGTCTACTTACCCCCTCTTAAAAAGTCAGTAGGTTAGTCTGACGGGAATGGCCTTTCCTAAACCCATGCTGATTGTCATTAACTATACCATTATCCCGAACAAATTCTACCAAATAGTCTTAATCATTCCCTCCTAAGAGTTTACAAACTACCGATGTAAGAATAACTGGTCTGTAATTCCCAGGTTGGCATCTTACCCCATTTTTGAGTATTGGAACTACCGTAGACCTCCGCCAGTCACTCGGAACTCTACCAGTCATTAGAGTTCTAAAAGAATTAGGAATAATGGACTTGTTATAACCTCGCTTAGTTCCTTAAGTATTTTGGGGTGCAGGTTATCTGGTCCCAATGCTTTATTTGCATTAAGTAGATTAGGTATTTCTGGAAAAAGCAATACCGGCGCCCCCGGTTTGCAGAGAAATCCAGCTGTAAAGTTCATTGGTACACCATAGAGGCAGCTCCCACCGGTCAACAACGACCATCGATCTGGGAAACAAAAGCAACACAGAGCGCCTCCATATTGTAAAACTTTTATTTGAGTACAACACGCAAGTGAAAATTTACTTACACGAAAGCCAATGATCATAAGCTTAAAAGGAAACTATAAAATATAAGATCTCCAGCAGGGGAAGTCTGAGGGGATCTCCGAATCAGCGTCCTCTGCTCCCGTAGGTTCTGATGAAGGGGGTGTGCCCCTGAAACGCGTAGACCTTTTTAAAAAACAATACGGGAGCAGAGGACGCTGATTCGGAGATCCCCTCAGACTTCCCCTGCTGGAGATCTTATATTTTATAGTTTCCTTTTAAGCTTATGATCATTGGCTTTCGTGTAAGTAAATTTTCACTTGCGTGTTGTACTCATCAAATAAAAGTTTTACACTATGGAGGCGCTCTGTGTTGCTTTTGTTTCCCAGATTAGGTATTTGTTGTATCCCGCTTTCCGTCAACCAATTGGCTATATTTTGTGATGAACTCTGTGTTTTATCATGGACGTCAAACCCGTTTCCCTCCTGAGTATAGTGAGGAGAAAAAAGTGTTCAGCACTTCGGCCCTCTCCTTGTCATTTGTCACCAACTTCCCGCTTTTGTCCTTTATTGGGCCTGTCTGCTCCTTTCTCCCCTTTTTACTGTTTATGTATTGGTAAAATGTTTTGGTAAAATGTTTTTGTTTGTTTTACTATCTGTGGCAATATGCTTTTCACACTATTTTTGCTGCCCGTATTACTAGTTTACATCTTTTATTACTTTCTTTGTAGTTATGGAACGCCAATGCCGTCCCCTCGATCTTATATTTTGTAAATGCCATTCGCTTTTCCTTTATGTGAAGCTTTACGTTTTTATTCAGCCATACAGGTTTTGTTTGATCTTTTACTTTTATTACCCAATGGTTCTTGTCCTACCAGCCCGCTTCCCTTATCCAATATAGAAAGTAATCTATAGAAACCAAATTACAATATCCTCAATTAACGAGTGACGATTAAATCTAGGATGGCATTTTTCCTAGTTGGGACCTCCACCATCTGGTCCATGAAATTGTCTCGCAACATGTTCAGAAATCGGCCTGCCTTTGTTGAACTTGCGGTTCCATTAGCCCAATTTATGTCTGGGTAATTGAAGTCGCCCATCACGACGACATTGCCCTCCCTCCCAGCTATTTCTATTTCCGACTGTAGCTGAGCCTCCTCCCCTATATTTGGAGGTTTATAACAAATACCCACAATTAGTTTACGACTCATCTGTTGTATCCAGTTCCAGCCATAAGGATTCCACGTCCTCCCCACTATTTGATGTGATATTGTCCCTTATGTGCATATTTAGATAATTTTTAACATAAATGCATATCCCACCTCTGTCCCTCCGGAACAGGTTGTACCCCTCTATATTGGTGGCCCAATCATGTGCTCTGTCTAGCCAGGTTTCCGCTATTCCCACTATAAGTCCTCCTCGAGCATCATAAGTTCAAGCTCTTCTAATTTATTTGCCAGACTTCTTGCGTTGGTGTACATACATTTAATTCTTATGGGACAAAGGTTTACTTGATATTGGTTGGCCAATCTTGTATATTGTCTATGGCTATAGGATTTACTATATTGACTGCTTTTGGCACTGGTGACTAGAGTGAGCCTACTAATTGCCCCTTTATTACTTCCCTCTTTATTATAAATTGTATAGCGATATGCAGGTTGTAGCACCCACACAATAGATCCTCCCCATAATCATGAATTTTGGCTACAGCAAAATACAAGGCCAAGTCTAGTATGAGCAACCCCTGAGGAATATTTCTGGTTACATAGTTTGTAAGGTTGAATAAAGACCAAGGTCCATCCAGTCCAACCTATGTATGTGAGTGTCCTTTTCTGGCTTTACAGCTTCCCATATCCCTGTAGGTTCTGCGAATGAAGAAACTCGTCCAGTAGTTTCTTGAATTTATCAATGTTATCCAGATACCACCGCCTGTGGGAGGGAATTCTAAACTTTCCCTACTCTCACAGTGAAATATCCCTTGCAAATTCTATGATTGAACCCCCCTCTCCTAACCTCTTGTGTCCCCAGGTTCTCAATACAGTTTTAGGATTAAACGGTGCCCAGTGCCAGAACCAGGGAGTCTTGCTTGCCCTAGCCTAAAGGTTGCAGGAGAACATGACTGGGGTATTACCCAAGCTTGATGACCTTGTTTTTTTCCTGGTAGGAAAGTTAGTTTCTGGGATGCATCAGAGCCTGCAGGTTAAAGGAGAACTATGAGGGGAGTGCTTTTCACTCACCTCATAGTTCTAGCCGACCTGTGACAATGAGACTGTCACAGGTCGGCTCAGTAGATCGGGAGGTGAGCGAACACATACCGGGTTCGCTCGCCTCTCGATCCTGTCACGGCTCTCTGCCATGACTGGGAGGGGCTGGATTCCCCTCCGATCTGCCAGTGCTGACTGGCTGTCACTCACGCAGCTGGGCGGATCCCGTCATCTACGTCGGGATCCGCTGCGGCGTCTCAGTATGCTGCAAGCTGTAGCTCGCGGTATACTGAGCCTAGGGTGACGGGAGGATGTTAGTTTGTGTCCTCCCGTTACCCTAAGGAGAACTATGGGGAAAAACACTGACCCCATAGTTCTC